AAATTCTGTATATTAGCAATAATTTAATACATTGATTGTTAATATATAAGGAAATGTATTTTCTTTGCAGCAGGGCATACAGATAAGTGCATACAAATATGTATTTAATTCTGTGTTTTTCTGATTCTAGTAAAATATCAAGATCTTGCATCCAACCTGTGACCCTGTCGGAGAGCACATAAAACGAATGAACGGTAAGATCAGTTTCAGCCAAAATACACTACAATTGAGCCAAAAGAACTCATTTGTTTTTTCATGATGATTTTACAGTAGTAACACAAACTGTAGTAAGTACAGAGGTTTCTATTTAACTTTTTCATTTGTTGCAGCAGGTTAAACTTTGTCTGAAGCTTTGGAGAATCACCCTGTGCTTTGTGATGATAACATGAGCATGTATAAATCAGGTTTGGACATGCTCAGATGTGCTCTGAGATCCACGCCACTGTGGAAATGTGACTCTTTTACATGGACACAGACGTCTTTATGTTATAAAAGCAGAGGCTTTGCTGTGTCATCTCAGCTGGGGAGAAAAAGCACACAAGGACACGCATTAAAACAAATCCGGTATTACAGTCAGAGTGGAGAAGAAGTTCTTAATGTTCAGATTAAACGAGCTGCTGCCTCTCCAGAGACCAGCGAACTCTCAGATAAAGCAGAAAGGACTCCTTTCTACACACATTTGCAGAACTCGTCGTGCCCCACGGATGTGCTGGACACGTTGAAACGGTTCCCCGCGTCACATCAGCACCTCAGCAGCATCTTCTCGCGCATGTGGGAGAGCTCAAAGTGGATGACGGACGAGCAGCGGCGCTGTGAGCTGCAGCTGATGTTTGAGCACCCGATGTTTGAGGAGGTCTGTGAACGCGCCGTGACTGACGCCTGGCGCATGAGGAGCGAAGATCTAGCCTACAGTCTGCTGGCCATCGTCAACCTGGGAGTTTCACAAAACACAGGTGTTGTGCAGACGCTGCTGCGTGTCATACAGGTGAGTGAAGTCCTGAGAATCTGATCACTTTGGAGGTTTTGTCTTCTGCTATCTTCACATATTCATTAATTCACACATTAAATCTCAATCATGGATGCTGTAATAGATAAAAAAAATATTTGATTGTATAAGTAGATTTATAAAAAG